CTTCTTTCTCCCGGCGAAGTGCAGCAACTCGACGTGGCATGGACTCAACAAGTCGTTGGAAGTCTTCTGCAGGAATATTGAGTCATGCTGTCTCAATAGACGTCCATAATTGTGAAAGCGTTGATGGTGCAGGATTTTGGGCACGAACAGACCTCTCGATGATGTCCCAAAAATGCTCGATGGGCTTCATGTAGGGCGATCTAGGTGGCCAGATCATTCGTTGGAATTGTCCAGAATGTTCTTCAAACCAATCGCGAACAGTTGTGGCCCGGTGACATGGCGCATTGTCATCCATAAAATTCCCATCGTTGTTTGGGTACATGAAGTATATGAATGGCTGCAAGTGATCTCCAAGTAGCTGAACATAAGCATTTCCAGTCAATGTTCGGTCCAGTCGCACCAGAGGACCAAGTCCATGCCATGAAAAAAACAGCCCACACCATTACAGAGCCACCACCCGCTTGCAGTGCCTTGTTGACAATTTGGGTCCATGGCTTCGTGGGGTCTGCGCCACACTCGAACCCTACCATCAGCTCTTACCAACTGAAATCGTGACTTATCGGACCAGGCCACGGTTTTCCATTCATCTAGGGACCAACTGATATGCTCACGTGCCCACGAGAGTCGCTGCAAGCGATGTCGTTCTGTCAGTAAAGGCACTCGAGTCGGTCTTCTGCTGGAATAGCCCAAGAAAGCCAAATTTCTCCGCACAGTTCTAACAGACAAGTCCCTTGTACGTCCCACATTGATTTCTGCGGTTATTTGACGCAGTGTTGCTTGTCTGTTAAAATTTACGACTCTTTGCAGACGTCGCCGATCTCGGTCGTTAAGTGCAGGCGGTCGACCACTGCGCTGTCCATGGTGGGATATTATGCCTGAAATTTCATACTCTCGGCCACACTCTTGACACAGTGGATCTGGGAATGTTGAATTTCCTAACGATTTCCGAAATGGCATGACCCATGCGTCTAGCTCCAACTAACATTCCGAGTTCAAAGTCTGTTAATTCCCGTCGTGCGGTCATCATCACGTCAAAACCTCTTCACATGAATAACTTGAACAGAAATGAAAGCTGTGCGAAAGCACTGCGCATTTATACCTGTTCTACGCGATGCTACTGCCATCTGAAAAGTTGCATATTACTATCCCATGACTTTTGTCACTTCAGTGTATAATTTGCCTCGGATCGACAAATTGAAATTCTATAAGCCGGGCCGGAGTTTGCCGATCCCCGCTCTAAACTAACTAGACCGGGACCTACACTTTAACTTGGATTCCTAACCATTCACAAACACCCATGGCGTCTCTGGGACTCGAACTTGAAACATGTGGCATCTAGCGTCAGAACGCAACCACTCGGCCATTCAGGCCCCAATGCACCAACTCTGAGGGTCGGAGCGGCCTACTGAAACAGCAGGTTGGGCTTCTGGACCAAAAGTATTTCGTTTGAAACACAAGCCTCTGCCTCATAAATCTGTAGGCCTGAAAATTTTTTCATTAAACTTGGGGCGTACGTGAAGGGAAACATTCGTTCAAAAGTTCTGTTGCTCAAACTATAACGGGGCATCTCTCTCCCAAATCTGTTAGGCCTGCTGGCAAATGACCAGCTCTCTGGCCTTTGGTGTCACATGCTTCAGATTCGAATCCTGGCGATGAATTCCGCATTCGGGGGTTGTATTGGAGGAAAAGTGGAAAACATCCACTAGGTAGTCTGACTATCGATGTATGAAGCTGTCACAATTACATAGAATACATTATTTCCTGAAAGCAGTCTGCAACTTACATCGCAGAAGTTTCGAACTTGAGAACTCCTGCACGTCAACTTTTCTTTGCTTTTCTTTTCTGCACACTACACCTTCACTCCCAGCAGCACTTAGGACTATTACCACCAGCCCGTAGCACCTAGGCCCCTACAAATTTGGAAAGTGAGGATGAAACATCGCCGAATCTGGGTTATACCCCCGACAACCCATCGACGGGAAAGGACGAAGCCTACCGGGAGGACCTTTTAGGGGTAACTGCCCTGTATTCGCGTGTCGAACCTGAAGAGAAAGAGAAAACAGAAAAAAACCCGAAAGTTGCCACAAGGCAGACTGACTGTCGCTGCGAGACCGTTTCCCATTCTTACAATCGCCATCCGGTATCCTTGTCTCTGAAAGCAGTGACAACAATACCGTCAACGGATTCAAACCTCAGCCCTTCTACACATGTTAAAATCACGCCACGTATAAGACAAACATTTAATATAAAAAATGACGATTTAAAGGGAGTTGGAGTGACAACATTTCTTTCCACAACTTCAGTATAAAAAGAGCTCTGTTTATTTGTGATAGAGAAAAAAAAATTCATTTAGAAAATCCTTTTAAGTATCTAACAAAGCTTTCTCCGTGTTTAAGATGCATCCATCCTATTATGATATAAACATTCACTTAAGGATACTTTTTATTACTTCACTTTACGCATCTTTCCTTAAACTCCATGATGGAAGAAGTAGAGGAGAGCTTTTAAATCTGTTGCTGTACAATAATACTGAAGCGAAAGAAACCGGAATCAACCAATTTGCCATCGCATTTCCGATACAAGCATTCTTATAAATATACGATGTGCCTTGAATTGAGTGAAACAAGGAAGATCCTTAATGCTGGGCTGCCTGAAAACATCGCATATCCTAAGTAATGGAGATTCAGAAATTAAAGAAAATCCATTAAGTTTAAAACGCATCTCTGAGGAATCGATACACATTAACAGAGACTTTGATGATATCCGTGCGTATTCATAAATCCTGTTCTGTCGTTTAATCCGATACTCGGTGGAGTTAGATTCCGGACCATTAGTAGGGCTCTGGCTTCTCTCTCCGAGAAAAATGCAGATTAAACTGTTTGAGAGAATCAAGAAAGAAAAAAATCAAATTAGAAACAACCGGAGCTGCTTTCTACCGGATTGCTTCTGTCAGCAGAAAGACGAGCACTCTCGCTCAGACAATGGAAGTTGGAAACCATATTTTTAAAGCCAAGTCAGCTCTCTTTTGTTTTTTCTCTTCTACTCTCTGCCTTTCTTTTCTTTTCCTTTTCATATAATTTTTTTATGTTATTTAACCACTGGACCTTTCAGTGAGTTCTCCTTCCTTCCAATACATTTTATATGCACCAGCTGAAATCCATAGTCATATACGGAGTCCCTCGCAACTCGACAACTTCTTTTCGATGCCTTGTTGTTTGAAGTTCTATTTCTTTCTCTTTTTTTCTACTTTCTTTTTATCTTTTCTTATAATTTTATGTTATTTAAGTAGGGCGTGAATGGCCGAGGGGCTAGCGCTCTGGCGCTCAGTGTTACAGATTTCGGGTTCGAGCCCTCGGTTTGTAGTGGTTCGGAATCTACTTTAATCCGTAGGTCCCGGTCTAATAAGATCGTAGAGCGTTGCGGGTTCATTGTTACTCCGCGTCCTGGGCTTATCTTCAAGTTACACGCGTCCCCTGGGTAATGCAAAGTGAGTAACGTCTGTGCAGCGCCCACCTTAAGGCATCCAAGACCAAGCTGTCTAAGTGTTTGCCAGCTGCATTAGAAAGAAAAAAAAATGTTATTTAACAACTGGACCTTTCAGCTGGTTATCATTCTTTTCATTAAATTTTCTAAGTACTAGCTCAATAACACCCCATACATGGAGTCTGTGGCTAATCGAGAACTTCTTTTCGATGCCTTATTATTTTAAGTTCAATTTCTTTCTCCTTTTTTATTTTCAATTTCTGCCTTTCTATTCTTTATTTCTTTAAAAAGATGTTTTGTTTTTTTAACCCCTTCAAGTTTTATAAATACTGATTTTATATTGAATTTATTGGAGCTGTCATTTGTCAGTGAACAAAAAGGTTATTTTACTACACCGATGCGAAAAAGTTAAGCAACAAACGAAAAAATAATTATACTATCCGGGAAAGAAGAAATTTATATTTACATATTTTGCATGTAGGGTAGCTATGTGGATGGGAAAAATTGTCCGCAGTGAACATTGGGCGTAGTAATATGGTATTTAAAAGCATCGTGTTTGTTTTATAAAAATATATTATTTTGGAGGATTCTGGAGGATCCATATATTGATTGTCGGCAAAATAAAAAAAAAAAATTGTAAAAACTACTAAACGGCAATATAGTTTTAAGGAAGGCCATAGAGAGTCAATAGATTTTGCCAGAAATGTCAGCCATTCCATCTGTCGAAAATGTTGTATATCTTGAACTTTCTGAACTATTTATCATTTTACTTTTGAACTGTAACAGCTCTTCGGTGTAAGAACTTTCCCCCACACTTCATTGTGGATTGTCACCCGTGGTAGACACAAGTTTTTTGTGTCCGCAATTTCTATAATTATTTTTATGTATCTATATCGTCATGGTAATGTGTCCACTAAAAGTATTAAGAATATATTTGAATTCACTGTCTACATCCCTACCTTTTGGATATTGCATCTACAATTCGTTGGACTAGAAAGGTCAGAGAAATTCTGTATAATTTTTTTTAATTTAGCGGATTGTTTGGTGAGGTAAAAACTACCATCTATCGCTTTTGGAATCGTTATCAAAGTGAATGAAAAATATTACGATAAAAAGTGTGCCCAAATCCTCTAGCCACAACAACTCAAGATCACTGCTATCTGTATCTGCAAGTACAATGCCCCCTTAGATGAACTATATGTTACGCTGTTAATAATCTCCCTGGTACTACTACCTGCTAAGACTACACCTGATCCAAAGGACCTCGTCGCAGGCGACTGGGCCATGGCTCAGGATAACATGCAGTTTCACTTTAGCCAGGAACCTCGAGGGATGAAGATTGACTAAACCTCAAGATAACTCTCTACGATCATATTAGACCACGACCTACAGTTTAAAGTGGATTCCGAACCGCTACAAACATCCATGGCACCACCGGAACTTGAACCCGACACCTGCGGCATCAAGCACCAGTGAGCTAGACACTCAGCCATTTAGGCCCCAAAATTTTTGAATGCCAACGACACGTAGTGTTCTCGAGTGGTCGCCCTCCCAAGTACTGACTGCGCCTGATGTTGATTGACTTCGGTGATCGAACGAGAAACAATATATTCTGCATGGTATGACCGTTGGCATGAATTATATGGATTGCACTTTAGATGGATTCCAACATTGCAGCCTCAACAGGAAAGATAGTATAATGACAAGCTGCTTAAAATGACTACATGCAGTTCGAAGGAATTTAAGGAGACCTGTTCATTGAGGATTTCAAACAGAAAAAAGCTGCAAACAGAAAAATCTTGCTTTAATTGGGTTCGAATTCACCTCCATTTGACCTAACAACAAAGGGGTGACGGGCTCATTAACAATGAGTCACGCTTTATATATCGATAGATTGCAAAATTTTACCGCTCTGTAGAACCTTTAGAACTCGGCATCAAGCCGGCAGTCTACACTGAACACAACAATAATGAGGTACTGGCCTCTTTACCAATGGGTCACTTTTTAGCCAACAGACAGATTCCTGATGTTTACTGATTTGCAGAATCTTTAAAACGCAGTATGTTTTAACCTACAGACAAATCCCAGAAGATTACTAATCAGTAAAATCTCTAGAAATCGGTATCAAGCCAGCAACACCTGCATTGGATGCAAATACAATGATGTATTGATCTCTTTACCAATGAGACCCATTTTAGCCTACAGACCGATTCCCAAAATTTACTATTCTATGGAACATCAGTAGCTCGGTATCAAGCCAGAAACATGTGCAAATGACATGTATACAGTAGTGATGTTACAATTGTTTGGATAGGATAACCTTTGTCGACTGTAATGACCTTCATTATCCATTCTTGAGATATTGTGGCAACATTAAGCTATGCAGTTTACATCCTAACACAATATTTGCCTCCATTTCTAGCCACCGTGTGTCTAAATTCTATTTTTACTAATTGTAATTCCCTAGTTCACATACTTCACACTGACAGCCAATACGTAGAATCTGAAATACTCCTCACTGTGGAATGATCATCTCGACACCCCGACTTCAATCCTGTTGAACATGCATAGAACATGCTAGAGAGGTGTTTACATTTACTCCCTTCCCTCTTCTCGGCCTTTCTGGTGGCCTGATATATATATATATAATATATATGAATTGCACAATAAACCAACTGTAGTGTTCGATGTGCTTGATTGTTTCTGTTTTTGGACAGAAAAAAATGCCTTCAAAGTCATTCAACAGTTGTGACACCGTGAGTGGAAAGCCCATCCACCACGGCAAGGTCATACCCAATTGGATGGAGAAAAATTGGTGGAACTTTTTTTGATGCCGCACCGTTTCCCCCTTCTTCGAGTATCTTCAGTTCAAATTTGAACTCATTTGGATTAGTGTTTTTTTTTTGTCAGCATTTTGAAAACGGGACTTTAATTATAGTTACCTTGTATATATATATATATGTATAGGAATAATTTAAAACTGTTGACATATTTTCAATGGCTGCTTCTTTGTTAGCCGCCATTTTCAAATGTTTGTAGAATGAGGATTAACTCAAAACTCTTCAAGTTTTGCTGCATCGATGGCAGTGCTTGGACTGTCCAACAGAACAGACTGCAGGATCTGAAGACCTAAAACTGTCAATTTTTTTCCAGATCGGCAAAATTAAAATGTTCAAGAGAATGGTTCCTGAATCTCGAGAGGTTACTTACCTTTATTTTTGTTAATAGTTAAGAGATGGTAACAATGGTTATTCCATTGACAGTGAAGTAAGCACAATAATGCCACGTTCATCCTCGCTTAAGAAGGATGTTCTTTCTTTCTTTTCGGGGATTAACAGCAGCTTTGTTTCCTTCTTGTGCCAGACGATGCATAATCCGCGGAATAGGGCTCCATCCATGGCTTGGCCTTGAGCAACATTTGCGCAAATCGATGGATTGTTGGGAATGCGGAAAGAGAGAGCGTTTTCTTTGGGGATTAATGCAGCATTTATATAATATAAACGAAGATAAAGTTTTTATTTGTATAAAATAAAAATTGAATAATTCAGCTGCATTTTAAAAAGTATGATAGCGGCTTTGTTTAAGGCATATGAATTGTTTAAAAAAAATAATTCAATTTTTATTGGTAAGCATTTTATTGTTTTTTTTTATTGTATTGGTGCGTTTTAGTGATTGCTTCAAAAATGATACTAGTGATTTGTACAAGTGACTCGAATAAAAATTTTATGCAGTAATAAAAAAGTTTTTTTATAGCAATTATCACAAATATAATTAATAATGCTATAATTTCACGTATGTATTATTAACTAGAGATCAGTAAAAATAACTGTAAGGATTATTTTATTATGGATGGGTGGTTGTATCAAGCATACGAAGTCAACTCAACCAAACACACGGACCTCTTGAGCTAAACACATAGAGAATCTTGTACTAAAAATCTCTGAACTAGCATTCAGAGACAACGAAGAAAGGACACAGAAATCATTGAACGGAGCACGTAGACACTCTAGATTCAAGAACACAGGACTCTCTGAACCCAGAAAGCATAAACCCCTTAATTAAGAACTGCGTCTAAACTAAATAAATATATTCGCTGAACAAAGTCCACAGCAAACCTTGATCCAAAAACACGTGTATTTTTTAACGTAAAAAAGCATAAATCCCTGAACCAAACACAGCAAGTGTCTAAACTAAATAGATGTATTCGATGAACCTAGCACACTTGCACTCTTGATTCAAAAGCACAGGACTCTCTGAACCTAACATAGAAAGCATAAACCCATGAATTAAACACAGCAAGTGTCTAAACTAAATAGATATATTCTCTAAATCCAGCACACGAACCTTTAGAATCAAACACACAATATTGAATCAAGCACACATGAACATCTGAACCAAATACACAGAAGACCCTGAACAAAGCAAACAGAAACTCCTGTATCAAGCACAAGGAGCCTCTGAATCAAGAAAACGGAGCCCTTCAATCAAAGACGCAGTAAATCTTGAACCAAGAACATATAAAAATTTGAACCCTGCACACAGAAACCTTTGAACCAAATCCAGGAAGCATCTGAACTAAGCAGATGAACTCGTTGTAACAAACACAAGGAGCCTTCCTGGAAAAAATCCCCAGATAAAGTCTCGGAATGAACCCCTTGAACCAAACAGACGGCTGTCTAATCTATCCTTGACTCTTGATCAAGAACACGTTGTTGAGAAAATCAGTCAATTTGAAAAACTCAAGAATCTGCTTCAGAAATAAAACCATCAGGGGGAAAAGTACAGAGGTTTAATTAAATTTTTAAAGATTACAATTGAATAATGACTTTTTTAAGAATCCATTGCTAACATTGCCCAACTCATTATCCAATACTATTAAAACAGACATTTATTGGCTATAAATTTCAATAAACTTATTAACTTTTTGGTAATTTAACTTAATTCTTATCGTTTTTAATCTCCTTAGTGACTCATTTGAAAAGTTTTCCCTTTAGGAGACATTCCTTTTGTTTAGCTTTAGTGTGCTAAACTGGAATTGCTATTAACAATTTAAAAACATTCCCATATTAGGAAACAAATATTTTTACAATAACAGCTATTTTTCTTTTTATTTGAACGGTAATAATAAAGCAGGAATTAGTTTTAAATAGGGGTTAAATTTATTATTATGACATAATTTGCAAAACACAATTTTAAGGGTTTTATTTGTCAGTTTACTAATAAAAAGATGATTGATATTTCAATAAAATATTTTAAAAAATCTAGAAAAGCATAACACTATAACATCTATATTAACTGATGCTTATATTGAAAATTTTCCTTTAAATAACAATTTAATTTCTCTCAGAATTTACATGAACCACTAGCTTTTTTTATAATTTTACAAGAAAAGATACAAGATCGAAAATGTATTACAAATACAAAAACAATCCTCAAATTACAATACAAACAATATACCAAATAAATACAAAATACAATACAATACAAATGCAAAATTCAAGCAATGTACAATACAAATACAAAATACAAACAATGTACAATACAAATACAAAATACCAACAATGTACAAAACAATACAAATACAAAATACAAACAATATACAATACAATACAAATACAAAATACAAACAATATAAAATGCAATACAAATACAAAATACAAACAATATACAATACAATACAAATACAAATACAAATACAATGTACAAATAATATACAAATAATATAACACATATACAAACGACATACAATAAAATATACAAACAATACAATACTACAGTACCAATTACACATACAAAAAACTGTATTACACATAGAACAGAAAAATATAAAATTTTTATCTACGTTCTTAGGAGCAACACTATCTTATTTATCTATTCAAATAATAAACCCTCATTACAGAACAGATAATACATTCATACCACACACTAATTGACAGAATATCAAATGAGAAGAAAGAAAATGTTTTAAAAAAAAACTAATCACTGTTTTACTTTACCATTACATTCGTGAGCAAATGTTTACCTACTCGCTTATTGAGAAAATTGAAATAAGTACCTTAGTACAGATGTTCATTTGTTTGAAGAAAGATTAAACCATGTTTAAGTACTGAACCTAATTGTTGTTATTACGATTTTGTAAAAGTGATCTTATGGGTATTGAAAGGCTTAACGCACTTAAAGTTATGTAAACTCTTTTAAATATTATATTCATAATATTAAATGATCTGAGAGTTTCATTTCCCTTTTTTAAAAAATGGTTTTTTTTTGGTTTCTTTTATTTAAAAGTATTTCAAGAATGACTTATAAGGGATCATTTTAAAGATTATTAAAGATTATTTTGCCGTACCGAATATTTTGCGTAATTTTAACAAATCGATAATTATTTTTAATATAGATAATAATATTATATTATTATTATAGATAATATTTTTCAGAGACTATAAAGCATTGCATCAAATGTCTATAAAATAAAACAAACAATAACTAAATGAAATTTAATATATTTATTACATGATATATAAGAGAATGTTTATTGCTTTTCTATCTTAATAGAAACACATTTGCCATTTGAATATAATATTTAATTTTCTTTCTTGATATTCAAAATAATAATGAGTATAATTATTGTT